TAGGCTGCCTCCCTCCTCCCCCCCCCCCCCCCCCTCCCTCCCTCCTTCACCCCAACCGGTCGAGGCAGATGGCCGCCCACCCTGAGTCATGGTTCTGCTCGAGGTTTCTGCCTCTTAAAGGAAGTTTTTCCTTGCCTCTGTCTCCTAGTGCTGCTCTTGGTGGGAATTGTTGGGCTTCCGTAAATAACATCATAGAGTATGGTCTAGACCTGCTCTTTATGAAAAGTGCTGTGAGATAACTGTTGTTGTGATTTGACGCTATATAAATAAAATTGAATTGAATTTAATTGAAACCCGTCTATTCTTGGCGTTTTGTTATTTTTTAATTTAATAATTGTTTCTTTCACCTCCTTTTCTCTAATTGGTTCTACTAACGCATAATTTAAGACCTCACGTATTTAAGAAATCACGTATTCTTTCGTCTTTCAATTCCTGATGTTGACCCTTATATCATTGTTCATAGTATTTGGCAAAGGTATTTGCTACTGCTTTTGGGTTGTTATGACATCATTAGAATGAAGTTGTTTAATTTTAGGAGTTGTTCGACTAGCTTGTGCTTTCTGTAGTTGAAAAGATAATAACCTGCTAGCCTTGTTTCCCAACTCATAGTATTTTCTATCAAAAAATCTAAGGGCCCCCTCTGCCTTATAGGTCAGTATTCCATCCAGCTTGGCTCTGTTCTCTTTAAGTTTATTAAATACTTCTTGTTTTCCACTTCGCCTATGTTCACTTTCCAATCTCTTGTTTTCAGTTTCTAATTCTACTTGTTTTTTTAAGTCTGTCTTTCTTTAACTTTGAGCCTATAGATATTATTTTCCCCCTTTAATGTGGCTTTTCCTGCATCCCATAAGACAGCAGGTGAGACCATTCCGTTGTCGTTCAAAGCAAAGTATTCCAGTATTGCTGACCCTATTTCTTCTCTTATGTTAACATCTGTCAATAATGAAACATTAATTCTCCAGTACTTCATACAGGGCTCCAATCCCAAATCAATTGTCATTTGTACTGGGCTATGATCTGAAGTGGTTATTGGCTCAATAACAGTTTTTAACTCTGTATGAGTCGTTTTTGGACACCAAAAAACAATCCAGCCGTGAGTAGCTTCCATGCACTTGTGACATATAGGTGAAGTCCCTCTCTTTTGGGTGAATGTAGCGCCAAGCATCTATCAACCCTAATTCCTCCATCATATTCTTTAAACTTTTCAACATTCTGCTTTGAGGTTTTGAGGATGGTGGTAAATTATCTAATCTATTATTCAGTACGAAATGCGGTGCATAGGCATTTAAAACAGTTAATTTAACACCAGCAATCCTTCCTACAACCATAACATAGCGACCTTCTGTATCCTGGAAAACCTTTTCACAATGAAAATACACAGACCTACTAAATATTTCTCACTCTCTTTTTCCGTTCCCCATGAGAGCTACCATAAACCTGATCCACCCATTCTCTTTTTAATTTTTGGTGTTCTGTTTCTGTGAGGTGAGTTTCTTGAAGTAAGGCTATAGAGCACTGCATTTTCTTCAACTGTCCCAGTATCTTTTTTCTTTTAACTGGGTTGTTTATTCCTTTTATGTTGTAGGTAATTACAGTAAATTAAGTAATGCCACCATTGTATTTATGCTGATTCATGTAACACCACCCGAACCTCTCATAAGCCTCTGTTAGACCACAACAGATAAAATAATTCTCCAAATGTACCAAGTCAACCAAAAAGAAATTTGCAACCTTCCTCAGATAAAACAGATCACTAACATTATGAACATAAAACAGAACTTCCATAATTCCCGTCAGACACAGAGAATAAACTATAGCCATGTCTGACCCCTGGTGATAATGGGACAGATAGAAGTGACCTAATCCCTCTGTGGAGAAAAGCACCCAGTGTGCAATAATGACCAGTATTACACTAACATGCAAGAAAGGTCTTAGTGAGTGTGAACCACTCATGTAGCCATCAAGAGCCCGTCAGCCCTTTTTCCCTTTTTTATTTTTTTTTAACCCTTTGTGACTTTACTTTTTTATTTTGTATTATGCTGTTATTGCTCTGTCTATGCAATGTTCATGCGCACTCAACATTGTGTGTACCTTTAGCAGCCCTAATCTGAAATCGAGCCGAAATCAATTTTAATTGCTGTATGCCTCCGACTACTCATCCTCATCTTCCTCCTGGATCATAGCCTTCAAATCAGCCATCGCCAACCTGTTGGTTCTTCTCCTCTTTGCGCTGATGTTCCATCCTCCAGTTAGTTTCTCTTCGATGCACTCTTTCTCTCCACACTGCACCTCTACACCCATCTCTCTCAAAGTATCCGCGGCGTTTGTCAGCGAGGGCGTTTCTCCCGAGTCCATCTTAACTTTCAGTCATGCTGGACACATGCACTTTGCCTGAATACCCCTCTGCTTTAGCTGCTTTACAACTGCGTGAACCTTAGCTCGCTTCTTTTGTAGCTCAGGAGAATAATCTTGGTCAAAGAAAATCCTCTTGTCTTAAAACATCACCTTTCCTTGGCTCCATGCTTGCTGCAGAATAATATCTTTCACCGCTGCGTCGAGGAATCTCACAATGATTGATCTGGGGATCGTGTTCAGTGGTTTATTGTCGGATTCTTTCAAATGTCCTGTTTTTCCTTGTCCTCTCGTTTTCAATGTGGTAATCATCTTGTTCCCGGGCTATTTTCCTCCCTGAAAGCTTTATATATCTACATTTGTCACTGTTTTCTAACTTTTTTCTGACTGAGCCTCGTCTCTAACCTGTTGTTCCATGACGTCACCGGAAGCCCTCTGGAGTGGATTATTTTTAAGAGAGCAATTTTGAAACATTTGGTGAGTTTGGCACTTTGGAGTTCACTGACAGAGCCAGACAAAAGTTTGCGGAGGGTCCGCTCATTCTCATGTCATGTTCATTTTTATACATCCCACGTGTGCATGAAAACCAGCGTACGTAACCTTTGTGTTTAACGTTTATACATGAGGGCCCTGGTCTCCAGTGCCTACGCACTTTATCCTGCTGCATCCTGCAGCGGTTTGGTGGTCTACGGATGGATCTATCTGTTTCTGACAGACTGTAAAAAGTTGAGCACATCTCTACCGGCTTTTTCCAGGAGTGTTTTCTAAGTCTGGACTTTACTGAGGAAGCAGGCTGCAGGCTGTCTCTGTACTTGCTCCTACAAGAGCCTGTGCTGTTTAGAGGACTGTTGGATTGTCCTAGCTGGGGGGGACCTACGCTATCCAGACAGCTTCACACTGCAGCGGTTTCTATGTTGGGTCGGAATATGACTTTTCTCATACAAAGCTTGGTTTCTTGCAGCACAAACTGTGGCTTCTAGCTGTACCTTGAAGTACCAGTCGACATTAATCACAATGTGTCATGATCTCAGTCTTGGCCATAGTTTGCCATGATCTCATTCGTGGCGTACGTGACTTGCTGCAGGTGCCTTACTACCATTGTGTATGTTACGTTTGGCTAGGTTTTGCCTGTGCTGCCTGAACGGCTGCTCTGCTCATGTAGGCACATTGAAAAGGCACAGGTTCACACAGAATATAATGGCTACACTACATTCACTTGTGAGTAATACAGCACTTCTATGATATTATAATAAAGTTTTAGATTAAATATAACAAACCAACAAAGTAAGCAAACATGAAACAAATGAATTATTCAACATCTACTCTGGGGAAGGTGGTGGAGCTAGCTGGGCCTCGGTTGGACGGCCCTGTTGGACTAGCTGATCGGACCTTGGATTAAGGTCTACATGAGTCAGAAGTCAGCTACTGAAACACTGGAAACTGAAGCTGACAGAGCGTGAGTGCTCTCTTTTAACGGACGTTTCTGATGGAACACTGATCTCTATCCTGCCATCAGGCTTTCTTCTGGTTTTAAGAACTGTTCTGGTTTTCTACTTGAGCCTGTGGACCCTGTAGGTGCTTCTTTGGGGGAAGCCTCAGGAAAGACTCTCTATAAAGTGATGGTGAAAACTTTGAATCAGACAACACTGAGTGGACGTAGTGACGCCCCGTGGAGGGTTTTCCTGGACTTAGATCCGGCCTTAAAGCAGCCTGGAGGTCTTTGTACAAAGAAAGATGCAGACCTGCAGTGGAGAATCCTTCATGGCGTTGTAGCCATGTAGTTATTAACGCTGCTGTAGAAGACAAATGTCCCTTTTTTTTTACAAAGCAGATTTTTATTTGTGGTTTTAGAGACACTCGCCGGAAGAAGAACAGATGTCAGCTACTGAACTTTGTTTCAGGACAGGCAAAGATGGCGGTGTATATGACCCGGAGACGGAAGGTGGAGGAAGGGTTAGATGTTGATGTGGTTCTTGTTTGTGAGAAAATGGTTCAGTCCAGACTGCTGTTAGGTTTCAGTTTTTACAGAGCTGCACATGACCTGGATACTTTTGAGCTGGTTTGGGGTTGTGGGGATGTCACAGTTAATATCGTGGGACATTTCTGCAGCAAAACAAATAAATGGAGTTAAAAACTTGACAGGTCAGACAGAGGAAACTCTGCAGAGGAAACTTTCAACTTTTAGTGTCTGAAATGTTTGGACTCTCTGATGGAGCTCAGGACTGATCAGAAGGACGGCTGCTTTACTCCAAACAGTGTCAGCAAGCTAACACGCTATTTAAGAACAGTCCGTGTTGATGCAGTCTGCAAGTAGAAGGATCCGTCAGAACCAATCATCAGCCGGCAATCTGACAGCTGACTTAACGTTTCATCCACAGACTTAGAAATAATAAAACAAACAGACGTAACGCTCTTCCTGATTATCAGCTTATATTCCACATCATGTTTTTAAAGAAATGATAATAAAATAGATAAATACAATGAATAAATAAATAATCTCTATTTCAACTATCAGACAATAACAAATATTTCCATTTTCTAAACTTCTACATTCTAAACCTTCTTCAGCTCTGAACAGATTATTAAACACTGAATGATTTCAAGCAGGAACATTGTTTCTAACGTTACATCATTTATTCTTTATTCAGATTGAGGGTCTGCAGTTTGTCAGAGATCAGCTGTGCTTCTCTGGTCTCAGCTCTGAAGTCCAACCCCTCCCATCTGAGAGAGCTGGACCTGAGTGACAACAACCTGCAGGATTCAGGAGTGAAGCTGCTGTGTGGTTTTCTGGAGGATCCACACTGCAGACTGGAGACTCTGAGGTCAGTTCACTGACTCTCTGTTACTCTTGTAGATCTGATATGTTTAATTAACAGTTGATTGATGTTTGGTAAGTGCACCAACAAACTGGGTGAGCTGGTGAGGAAGGCCAGCTCAGTGGTGGGGATGGAAGTGGACAGTGTGGAGGCAGTGACCGAGAGGAGGACGAGAGGGAAGCTGGAAACCATCATGGACAACCCCTCTCATCCTCTCTATGCTGAGCTGAGGCAGCTCAGGAGCTCCTTCAGCCACAGACTCATCCAGCCCCGAGCCTCAAAGAGCTTTGGAGGCTCATTTGTGCCGTCAGCCATCAGGCTCCACTAGGGGTGTGGAAAATAACTGATCTTTAGATGCATCGCGATGCGGACTTGGACGATTCTGAATCCATTGACAAATATCAATAATGGATTATTTAGAGGTTAACTGATAACGTAATGTTGACAGAACGAAAAAGGCGGAACTCAGAAATGTGGAAGTGCAGCTCCGGACCGTCTGTGGTGTGAACACAACGGAGACGTGTGGTTCTCCCTGTTCAGCACAGACAGACAGCTGTTTAATGAGCGCTGCTACTAAACTTTGACCTGATCAATAAAATCAGACTAACGTTAATGATTTTCACCTGCACACTGTGCAGCACGGCAGCGCTTAGCTAGCGTCCTCTCCTCATTCTTTATAGGACAGCTACAGGACAGGCGGCAGTAGGTGACGCTGAAAGCAGAGGAGGAAAAGATGAGCGCTACGTTTCAGTCTGGCAGTAAATGTACGCTGCAGGTCACAGCGTGTCCGTTAATTTAAGTCTGTCTGTTTTCCAACTGCTGGAAAAGTGAAGGCGGTTAGCGCTAGCTAACATCTCCTCTTCAGACTGCGGTCTGGAAGCTGAGCAGGACGCTTTTTTGCTGCTACTTCAAGTTCTTTTGTTGTCATTCATCCACATATCGAGTACACAAATGAACGAAAAGCCGTTTCTCAAGGCCCATGGTGCTCAACACAAGATCACAATAATCAAGTTAGAAGAAACAAACGTGACTACGCTAGACGAGACAAAAACAGGAACAGATATATTAAGGTGGAGTGAACGTGGTTTGGCTGCAGCACTGTAAAGTGCATAGTTCAACATGTATCTGACTCTATACTAAAAACAGCAGCATCAGAAATGAAAACAGCAGCAGAGGTCAGTAATAATGCTGGAATAATGGAATAATGCTATGCTATGTTAGCTACAGGTATATTGGTACTTCTTTGGATTGGTACAAATACTTGGCTTTAAAAGTACCAAGTAGTCACACAGTGAGAAAAATACATCTTTATCGTTTTACAATCTCATCGTAGCCTCATAATCGTAATGAGGTGCCTAGAAATTCCCGCCCTTGAGGTGACGCATCGTGATATCGAATCATTGACCTGATAATCGTAATGGAATCGTGAGACCAGTGAAGATGCACACCCCTAGGCTCCACAACACCACAGCACCACACTGACAGACTCTCTTTAGACTTGATTTATTGAACATAATTGTTATTGTATATCGATTTTTTTATAGTGTGTACACTGTGTGTATATATTTACACATCTACGTAGAATGTCACTGATTCTACTTTTTCTTGTATTTGTATTGTGTTCTTTACGTTCCTCTGTGTTGCTGTGCCAATCTGATTTTCCCCTACAGGGATTAACACAGGTATGTCTTATCTGAAACGGTCACATCTGGATACAGAAGATCCTCTGAACTAATATTTATTTGAAACTGATCAAGTTTACTTGGTGAAGTAGAAATGTTTCGGTAGCACTTTATAATAACTACACACTATAAAGCATTAGTGAAGTATTAGTAAATACGGAATTCATCATTTATAAAGTGCTATATTTCTTTGTTTCTGTTGGTTTCAATGTGTTTTCACAAATAATGTCTGATCACTGATATTGATCCTTCAGAACACACACACACACACACACACACACACACACACACACACACACACACACACACACAGACTGGCCTGAGATCAGCAGCATGTTATTGATCTGTGTTGACATGAATAGGTGTATGAATGTTGTGCTGACATTTGGATGATGTCTGTAGAAGGCTGACATTATGATGATCCACAATAACACAAAGACAAAGTCCCTCTACTCATTTTAGGGAAAAGCTCATTGATTAGGACATAGTAATGTTGAGCTCCACATTTAAAACCTGAACACATCTGATTGGATTAGAAATGGATTTTTATCTCCATCATTTATTCTTTATTCAGATTGTGGAGCTGCAGTTTGTCAGAGATCAGCTGTGCTTCTCTGGCCTCAGCTCTGAAGTCCAACCCCTCCCATCTGAGAGAGCTGGACCTGAGTGACAACAAGCTGCAGCTGAGTGACAACAAGCTGCAGGATTCAGGAGTGAAGCTGCTGTGTGGTTTTCTGGAGGATCCACACTGCAGACTGGAGACTCTGAGGTCAGTTCACTGACTCTCTGTTACTCTTGTATATCTGATATGTTTAATTAACAGTTGATTGATGTTTGGTAAGTGCACCAACAAACTGGGCGAGCTGGTGAGGAAGGCCGGCTCGGTGGTGGGGATGGAAGTGGACAGTGTGGAGGCAGTGACTGAGAGGAGGATGAGAGGGAAGCTGAAAACCATCATGGAAAACCCCTCTCATCCTCTCTATGCTGAGCTGAGGCAGCTCAGGAGCTCCTTCAGCCACAGACTCATCCAGCCCCGAGCCTCAAAGAGTTTTGGAGGCTCATTTGTGCCGTCAGCCATCAGGTTCCACTAGGGGTGTGGAAAATAACTGATCTTTAGATGCATCGCGATGCGGACTTGGACGATTCTGAATCCATTGACAAATGTCAGTAATGGATTATCTAGAGGTTAACTGATAATATAATGTTGAAGGAACGAAAAAGGCATGTATAACATGTATAATCATAAATACTCTAATAAAAATACCTCTGAAGGTACTACATGTGCTTACACATCCAAAAGTACCTCCAGAGATTAGTTTGAAACCAGGACACAACAAAATACTGTTGAACAGTTCACAACATCCTCCGACTGCTTTTAACCTACAGTATTAGGTTTTAACCCGCCCATTTAAGCTAGCATCACGCTGCACTTTTAGCTCTCTGCTAAAGGTTACAAACTTTACTCACCGGAGTTTCCAGGAATAAAAAAAACGCCTTCAGCAAATGGCGGCTTTCAGAAATCTGGAATGATGCCGTTTTTACACTTAAGACCTGCTTCTGGGCCCGTGGGATCTCGTTTTTCCAACTGCGTCTTAGCCGCTTCTCTCTGTTCTTCCTCGGTGCGGTCTGGTGCTAAAGTGACTGCACACTGTTGGAACTACTGGATGCGCCGAGGGTCAAAATAGCGCTGCTTTAAGGCCCGTATTTTTTATGTGGGCTATAGTCTATGATAAGGAGACACGGTTGAGATGGGCGGTTTAACCAGAAACCGTATTTTCACCTGTTTCCTGTGTTAAACACAAAGTCAATATTGAGTTTTTTTATTCGTTAGCCTTTGGAACGCAAGTAATGTTCCATTTCAAAACATTATTTACTAGTTTTATTTTGAAAGCGTAACCGGACGTATTTATTGTTGCTAACTTGACGGCGAGACGTCCAAAAACGGTGTTGTGTTAACCCAGGCCGTAAAAAAGCTGAGACTTAAGAAGCCTAACTGAGACTATTTTCAGTCTCCTTTGTAATGCTTTGTAGGGCCTAAGATAGTCCTTACTTAAGAGGGAAAATACTTAATTTCCTTAAACTTTCTAAATGATCGTATGAAACACAGGCGCATATATATAGTTTTTCATTGGAATAATACTTTTTAGATTAGATTCTTTATTGTCCTTTTCAGGAAATTTGTTTCCACAATCTGTACGTACATTACCTCACATAATAATAATAATAATAATAATAATAATAATAATCTTTATTTGTAGAGCACTTTTCAAAAACAAGTTACAAAGTGCTTTAACAAGTGTAAAGAATAATACAAAAAAAACAAGAGCATGAAAAATTAATATAAAATTAGTGAAATACAATAAAATAAAAGGGATAAAATAAAGTCAAATAAGATCGGGAAAGGCTCTCCTATAAAAGTATGTTTTAAGAAGGGACTTAAAAGAGTTCACTGACTCAGCCGACCTGATTTCCTCGGGCAGGCTGTTCCAGAGCCTCGGGGCCCTGACAGCAAACGCTCTGTCCCCTTTAGTTTTCAGTCGAGACTCTGGAACAGACAACAGACCTCTGCCCGAGGATCTCAAGGTACGTGCTGGTGCGTATGGGACTAAAAGGTCAGAAATATAACAAGGCGAGAGGCCATGAAGAGCTTTAAAAGTGATCAATAGAATTTTAAAGTCAATTCTAAAACATACTGGGAGCCAGTGTAATGAAGCTAAAATAGGAGTAATGTGGTCATATTTCTTTGTTCTGGTTAAAAGCCTGGCAGCTGAGTTCTGGACAGTCTGGAGTCGATCAGTAGATTTTTGGGTTAAACAGGTGAAAAGGCTGTTGCAATAATCCAGGCGTGATGAGATGAAGGCGTGTAAAATGGTCTCAGTGTCCTTAAAAGTTAACATAGATCGAATTTTTGCTATATTTCTAAGTTGATAAAAACATGATTGAACAAGCTTTGTGGTGTGCTGCTCGAAATTTAAATTACTATCAAACCAAACACCAAGGTTCTTTGCCACAGGCTTAATGTGATTTACTAGGGAACCAGCAGATGGCAGTATTTGATTTGCCATCTGCTGGGACCCGATGACCAGGATTTCTGTTTTGTCTGAGTTCAGCTGGAGGAAATTATTTGACATCCATTTTTTAACTTCACAAAGGCAGTTGTTAAGTGAACTCAGCATTCCAGGGTCTGTGGATCTGACGGGCAAGTATATTTGTGTGTCATCAGCATAAATATGAAAAGAAATGCCATGTTTATGGATAATATGTCCAAGGGGAAGCAGATACAAGGAAAACAAAATGGGTCCTAAGACCGACCCCTGAGGCACACCATATTTAACTGGACAGAATGAGGAGACATAGTTGTTTACAGACACACAAAACTTGCTATTTGACAGGTAGGATGAAAACCATTCTAGGGCAGTACCAGAGATCCCCACCCAGTGCCTCAGTCTGTCTAACATGATGTTGTGATCAATGGTGTCAAAAGCAGCGCTAAGGTCCAGGAGTACCAGGACTGAGCACATGCCTTCATCAGCAGACATTAAAAGGTCATTGGTGACTTTAAGCAGGGCAGTCTCAGTGCTGTGGTACTTCCTAAAACCAGACTGAAACTTTTCAAATATTTTGTTATTTTCCAGTAGAGCAAGCAGCTGTTTGGACACAATTCTTTCTAGAATCTTTGCAATAAAAGGCAGTTTTGAAATTGGTCTAAAATTATGTGGGAGGGAGGGATCTAAACCAGGTTTCTTTAAAAGTGGGTTCACGCAAGCCGTTTTAAAATAATCAGGGACACAACCAGTAGATAGGGAGCTGTTGAAAACAGAGATCAAATGGGGCCCAACAGAATCTATTACTTTCAGTAAAAATTTTGTAGGTATTACATCAAGTGGGCTGGAGGACACTCTCATTTGTGATACTGTTTTTAAAAGCTCAGACAAATCGATGGGATAAAACTGGTTAAAACTCTGTTGTTGCTGGTGAGGAACCTCTGAGTAAGAAGCCACGGGGGTAATAGAGGCTCTGATTGACACCACCTTATTGGTAAAATAAGATAAAAACAATTCACAGTCATCATTACTTCCAGCTGACGCACAAGGAGGGGTTGGGTTTACCAGCTGATCCACAGTCTTAAACAGAAACCTGGGATTGTGTTTATGTGTAGTAATGAGTTCAGAAAAATAGTGTGTTCTCGCATCCTTAACCAAGTTATTGTAGTTAATTAATAAATCCTTCAGACTGAGGTAATGGACTTGGAGACTGGATTTTTTCCATCTGCGCTCTGCTTTCCTGCATTCCCTTTTTAGGCTGCGAATGCTGTCATTTATCCAGGGTTGCTTACTAGCTTTAGACGTAGGCCTAACCTTTAGAGGAGCAGTAATATTTAGTGACGACAAGCAGATATGATTGAAGTGATCGACCAGATTGTTAGTGTTGGAATCAGACAGGTGTTGGCTTTGGCTCTGAAAGAATGCGCAAAACTTTGAAACACTTTGTTTATTAAAGATGCGAGAACACACGGAGCTTGGTGAGGCGGCATGAGTAACAGGAGAATCGCAGCTAAAAACAATACATCTGAGGTCAGATATGGTCATGTCCACTAATTCCACAGAGGAAATGCTGACACCCAGGGTAAAAACCAAGTCCAGTGTTTGACCACGGTTATGTGTTTGCCCTTTGACATGTTGTTTGAAGTTAAAAGAAGTGGCCATATTTAAAAAGTCAGTTGCATCAAGATTGGTGGGGTCATCAACATGAATATTAAAATCGCCACAAAGAACAATTCTGTCATAATTTAAAACCAGAGTAGATAAAAATTCAGGAAGTTCTGATAAAAATCCTCCAGGCGGTTTTGGGGGGCGATAAATTATAACAAATATGATAGGTTGCAGCCCTCCAACTTTAAGAGTGAGAACTTCAAAGGAGTTAAATTCATCACAGGGTACTTGATGGCATTTAAAATTTTTCCTATACACGCTCACTAGCCCACCACCACGACCACTGACCCTCGGTTGACTAAAACAATCATATTGAGGCGGACACAGTTCAGCTAGCTGGCTATAGTCATTCATCTGCAACCAGGATTCAGTTAAAAACATAAAATCTAGATTTGCAGACAAGATAAAATCATTTAAGATAAAAGTCTTACTTGAAAGTGATCTCACATTGAAGAGAGCCATTTTAAATGAGTTTGTTCTGGGTGCTGGAGTTGGTGCAGTTGTCCTAATCCTTAAGAGATTACTAATATTTCTGTGTGGGATGTGCACGTTTCGGTTTACTGGTCTATGCGTGATGATGACAGGAATGGAAGTCTGTGGAACAGCGCTGGGAGCAGACGGCTGTGGAATTAGACACATACAACAAGAAATTCTTAGAGTAGTCTGGTAGTGTGAGCGCTGGCGCCAACTGTAACCTCTGTTTGATTGTTTCAAATGCCACAAGGCCTTCCTGTGTCCAGGTCAGATTGCTATGAAGTTGAGCGTTCCCAGTATCCTTAACCATAGCTCTCAAAGGTCCCGTTAAGCTAGAATAATCCTCAACCCATGCTGAAGAATAACCAGCAATACCAAGAAACGTCAACATCTCTCTGACAGTTCTGGGCTTTGGAGCCTTGCGAATAGCCTCCAATTGACAATCAGAAATGCTTCTGTGTCCATGCGTTATTGTCTGACCCAAATATACAACCTTCTCCTGGCAATATTGCAACTTCTTTTGGGAGGCCTTATGCCCCTTTTCTGCCAATATTTGTAGCAATTTAATTGAGTCTTTGTGACA